TTCATATGAAAAAAAGCAAAAACTGAAACAATACTTACCTTTTGTTTTTTTTTTATTTTAAGAATGACGTTAAGAATTATAAAAGCTTTTATAAATACTATTTATTTATTTATTAAATAGGTATACCTACCTTATAACAATTAAAGAAAACGTGAAACCCCTTAATATATTTTATTTACCATTATATAGCCATTTAAGTACCAACTAAATCAACAGATCAACGTAAGGTGACAAAATAAAACGTCTCATTACACCAGTGACATGTTTTATTTGATAGAACACAAGGGGCTCCATACAACATACAGAGGCGCATCTGTAAACAAAAAGGGGACACGCAATCCCCGCGCCTCGACTTGACATATGGGACTAAATATCGTCCATTCAAATTATAATCAGACACACTTGATTAATACTCTAATGTCAATTTGACTGTAACTGATTTTATAAACTCCACGCGCTCAGGTCAATACATCAGGGACCACTTTGGATTTTTAGGGGAGGCCATGCGAATTTTCAACAACACTTAAACAGATACTGTAGTGCTACCTACAGGTTGAATTCAGAAGGATAATCAATTACTTGGACAAAAGGTTTTTAATTTTGTTCCACAGCAGAATGCTCGTCAAAAAGATAAATGATCAATATTTTTATGATAAAAAAATGTAGGAATTATTATTATTATTGTGACCGGGGCTTTTATTATAGCTAAAAAGTATACTATATATATCAGGGTGCTTTTTTCACGATTATTTTTATTTTTTCCCTGAAAATTTGAGCTCCTAATACTAACTTAAAGGACTCTACCAAAGGATATTAAGATTTCCCATTTAAAATAAACGTAAACTTTGTTTATTTTTTAATATCTATATCTCAGCCGCATTTTATGCTTTTGGATTGTTTTAAAAAGGGATTTACTCGTAATCAAAAGTTCTACAAAAATGCTTTATGTGCCATAGCTGTAATCTGCACCTGTAGGATGGTACGGGTCACTAAATCTTATTTTAGTGAAAAATTCTATTTTTTAAGATATTTCAAAAGTGACTGGATTCTTTGAAAAAATTTAAAGGACAAACTTGTGGAAAAAATAATTTTCTTTAAAAATGGTCTTATCAGTTGAATCGCTAAGATTGATATTTGTTGAGACATTGACAATTTATGAAATTTTTAGGATTTTCGTACCAAACTTTTTATAAATGATGATTTTCAATTGTTTATCAGTACAATTTCATCAAATTACGTTTTTTCTACAGTCGGGTGATTAGAGAAAAATAAATAACTCAAACAATCAAGCATAATTATTAATAACATAACTTTAAAGAGAAAAGATATATCTAACCCAAAAATTGATATAACGAGGTGTTACATACAACATGTTATTTTATTAATTTAATTAAGCTTGATTGTTTTAGTTATTTATTTTTCTCTAATCACCCGACTGTAGAAAAAACGTAGTTACATGAAATTGTATTGATAAACAATTGAAAATCATTTATAAAAAGTTTGGTATGAAAAGCCTGAAAATTTCATAATATGTCAAGGCAACTTTGTGCAATGTTTTTCAAACGGATTTGACTCTTTACGTTAAATCACTTTTTCTTTCTAAATTGTTTTTGGTCAATAATAATAATAATAATAATATTTACAATCCAAAGGTTCCGGGTTCCGAAACTGGGTCAAAATTAATAATAAAACTGAGTGTCGAAGAGCTTAAGACCTAGGTATTCAATGCTTCAAACACTAAAAACAATAATAACAATAATAAATAGAACCTAAAAAGTTTTCGTTTACGACCACTCAAGAAGTCTTTTAAAAACTGTTCTTTATAAATTTGTTTGGCATCATTTTAATTGTCCCTCTGTGATCTTATCAGCGAGGAGTAACACTGAAGCGTTAAATCTCCTTGGCAAAGTAATAGATTTTTAATTTGCTTGACCACATGGTATAATATCGATGTAGTCGACACCCTTTCTAGTTCACCCCTGCCTATCCTAACTTTCTATCATAATGCCACCACTTTATCCCCATATAATACAAATTAATACACCAGAATTAAATAGACACACTCTAAAGCCTACTCGCGCTACCCTCTCTGTCTAACCGTTGGAACTTTGGCGTTTCATCCTTGTCTAGCACTAAGCCCGGGTAGTATGGTGTATAGGATTTGATGGGCGAAGCGAAAATATTTTGCAGCACTTTGCATATGGCACGAATTTCTTCCGACGTGGAGGTGCTATTATAATGTAAATGGTTTTTTATTTGGCAGGGTGGTGTCGGGATTAACGGATTAAATATGATTTTACTAGGGATTAATGTTATACTTTTTCTGATTCAATTTGACTAAGTGCCCGTTTAAGATGTCAATTTAAAATGAAATTGATTTGAGTTATTGTATGTCTGCATGGGTTCTATACACATGTTATTTTTGTAAAAAAAAGGTTATCACAGTTGAAACAAGAGGCCCATTCTGCATGGATAATAACATCTACAGGTTTTATTATAATTGATTTAATGAGGTTGTTACAGCTTTCATAAATCCTCCTCAAACACCTCCATAAAGCTAAATGATAGTTAAGTAAGCAGTATTCTTTTTATAAACATTAGTTACATACAATATTGATTTGGTTTGGAATAATATTAAAACTATTATCTCTAGAGTAAATAGGTACTTTAATATTTTATGAAGACCCAAGTACAGCTTTAAATTAAATATGCTTATATGTAGTTTATAATAATACTTAAGAGCAATATTTCTTCATACTGAGGTGATATTTTAATGCCACCACCACATTTTTTATGGAAGTCAATGAAATACTTCTTAAAAACAAATGGGCTTTCGAAACAAGCTAAGTTTGCAACAATTTATCATATTTGTTTTTATGGTATTAAATAAAAAATTTATATTCTTTCCTAAAAAAGGGCTTTTAATCAAAGTTAGGTAGGTACAATATCCTTGCAAGAATTAGGTTTTTTGTTAAAAATACTTTGTTTAAATAATTTTTTCTACTCCCACCTGTAAAACGCCCTTTATCGTACATGTTTCCATGACACTAAGTGAATACACATTGACAAGTTGTGGCTTTATGGCGCTTTAGTCACGGGCTGAAGTTTTAAGTTAGTTGACAGTTGTCAAATGTCATACAATCGTTAAAATAAAGTGCCTTTCTTGTAAAACAATACTAAATGTGAAAATTATTTTATTATCTCAATACAAAAATACAAAAGTATTAAATAGTTTCTCAACGGCAATATTTGAAAAGTTTATATGAACATTGTACTGACCTTTTAATTTCGTCGGCAGTAAACTATAACTTAAATTCGGGCACGGACTCCACTGTAAAGTGCTCATAAAACATTTTCTTTACTTTCACTGTGAAAAACTGTCAATTTTCAAGAAATACATTTCGATTTATAACCTTTATAATCTGTGTTTATAAAATACAAAAATTTGACATTTGACGGTGACACACAGATTTCCCTATTGTTTCATAGATGGCGCTCTATACAATTTTTTTATTTAAATCATGTTAAGATAATAATAAGTAGGTATTTTTTAATTAACATGAGATATTTTTTAGAATTATTTTAGCAAAGCATTTTTAAGTACACAAATATGAGTTATGGAAAAAATGGTGGCCATACGCCTGTAAGAACAGTATCTCCTGCAGGAGATAGTGTTCTTGCATGCATTAGGAATTAATAAAACCTATTTATTTTATTAAAACCGAAAAAGTATGTCATAAAACCAATAGGCAGTTAAACAAGGTAATCACTAGAGTGTTTATTCTAATTTCTTTTCTGGAAACAAAGTGGTTTTATCAGAAAAGTAGTGCCGGTGCCTTATATGAATAAAGTTTATAATTATAACCTATATTTTATTTTCTTATTCGGTATCCCTCGCGTTTTAATTAATAGTGTTTTAATCGAAGTATTATTACTTTTCTATAAAAGTTGCCACTGCTTTTTAATCGACCCAACCCACTTGTCGAATAATAATGACATCTTGCATGTGTATTATAATAATTATATTATTATAGTTACCCTCTATAAATTAATTATTCAAAAATGACTAATTGTCATAGCGAAAAAGCAGCCACCAATAATTCTCGTCAATAGCAATTTGTATCCCAAACATTTAGCAGTCAATTTCCATGTAAATATGTCCCCTGAATCCTGAAGTAGAACAGTTTTTAAGATATAGTCAATTTTCCATATATAATTTTGAATTGACTATATCTCAAAAACTGCTCTACTTTCATAATTTTTGACGGTATTTTCGGATTCAGAGGCAATTTTACATAAGAATTGGCTGTAAAACGTTGGGTATACCATGGTTAATCATGGTATAAGTGAAAAAGTAGCCACTAATAACTGTAGTAACTAGTCATTTTTGAGCAATTCATTTTTAGAGAGTTGATTAACCTAAATACCACACTACCTATTATAGTAATACGACACTACATATTATAATAATAGCGGCACGTGCATGTCCTAATTTGGTTTTAAAACTAAAATGCCTTTTAATGTATTGCCATCGAGACAAACTGCTCTTCAGAAGCTAGCACACAGAAGTATAATAAAGCAGATTAAAGTATTAGCTGTAAAAAGTACTTACAGCACAAGCAGTTTTCTCCAGAAATTTGGATTTAACTGCTTTCATAAAACATTCTTTTTAAGAACATTAAACCAATATACTGTCATAAAGCTAAATAGGCCTTATGTGTCCCTTAAGTAAATATGGTTTTATAAGGGTATAAATCACATCCCAAAATAGAGCAAAGTTTAAACTAACAAGCGTAATAGGTGTTATGATTTTAAAAGAAGGTTTTGTTGTGACTAATTAAGCTTTCTATTAATTCACATGTGTTACTTGGGAATGGATTGTGGATAAAAATAATGATTGTTCTTTGACGACAAATTTTTGATTTTGGATTTTTCTGAAATGTTTTTTTGATACGAATCTTAGCAAAAAAGGTACCTACTCACTGAAATCTTTTTTATAGATCTTCGAACCTCCCCAGGAAGTGTGGATTGTTATTCTCCCGATGGAGAGCATCCTTTGGCTCTATGCCTCCCAAACTCACAAACTTTGGTGCAAGCTTCGCGCACTCCACCTCCTCCATGGAGTATTCCAACGAAGAAAGGCACTCCAGGTCTCATCTGCGTCGTTTGTGGTGACACCAGTTCAGGAAAACACTACGGGATTTTGGCTTGCAACGGGTGCTCAGGGTTCTTCAAGAGATCTGTGAGAAGAAAACTGATATACAGGTAGGAAATCTTTTTTATTTGAATTTATACAATAACCTTTAACCTTAGAATTGCACCATTACATCATATTTTCGAGTAACTTGAGTGCATTCAAAATTTTTGAAAAAGTATAGTTTTTATTACAAAAAATGCTTAATAATAGATTATCCGTATTTATTTAACTTCAATATTAAATTGAAATTTGTTTACATTACAATATCATGGTTTATATAATCAGTTTCAAACAGTTTCGAGTTATCAGCGAAAAACTAATATTTTTCGTTTTGCAACATTTACAGAAAGAACAACCCATGTATTCTATAGAATATAGTGTTATTATGCCTGTAAACTCATTTTGTATTTTTTGTCCACCTTTAAAATGTGTTATGGTAAATAAACAAAATGGATTTATTTAGTGTTGCTTGAATTGACAGGATTTATCTCCATTTGATGAAATAGAAATAAAAAAACCGTTTTATCCATTGACCTATACAGGGTGGTCCAGGATTAATCTGAAAAATGCCATTTAAATTAACTTAAAATGCCAATAATGTGAATTTATCTTATATTTATTGAAAGAAGAATTTAAATTGTATTAATTTGGATTTATCTGCTTTTGCTTGATTTACTAGGTTTTGAGACCGGTATTCTATATAAATTACTTGGTTTGTCTTAATTCCGAATTCATGGATTAATCTAACCTCATTTAATGTTATTTAAAATTAAATGAGTTTGACCTACACTTTTATTTTGTTTTAATCTTTCATAATTAAGTAGATATTACAGCTCAGGTTTCAGATTTTTAACCTCAATTAATTATTTTTTACAATGTTTTAAAAGTCTAAAGCCTATCCTCCGTGACTGTTACTATTTCTAGGTTAACCTATATGTTTTCAAATATCTGAGGTAGTAAAAGCACACTAAAAATATCAGTTCGCCAAGTAAATTAAACACATCCAAAGCAATCGAATCAAATATAAAATATTATTAAAAATTAAAAGAAATAATTTTTATAACCATTTATGTAGGTGTTACAAAAATTGATTCTATCCTCCGTGAATATGTTTTTGCTTTAAATTTTATGCAACGGATGGCGATTTAATAATTTTAAATAAGCATAAAGCTCTGTTTACGACATTATAGATGCATGTGATTCCTGAAGGTCAGTTAGAATTTATATGCAGATGAGAGTGTTGCTGTTTTATAATTCAAAAGTTTAAGTTCATTAATTTGCTATTTAAAAACCTATCAACCGTGAAGTGTAATATCTCAGTAAGTAGATTTTTTTATAAATATTTTATGTAGGTACAATTGTATTTTTAAAAAATATTAAGGTGTCAAAAGGTACAATAACTTATTTCAAATATACATTCCTTGAAGCTCTAATATTCAAAATGTATGATTTCTTAAAACTCTTGCATTAGTGCAGAACCACTTATGTTATGTTATTACTAGACCTGGTGGCTTCCCAAAAACCCCATTCTAGACTAACAGTGAAACAACCAAAAATAAAAACTAATCATTTTCACTTGGGGGACATCTCCATATATTATACCTAACTCATTTTTTAACAAAACTGAATTTATCTGCTTTCGTCTGAATGCTCCACTATATTATAATCTATACATAAAACAATATGGGTCCCATTATGGGCGAATATGAAGCAATGCCGACAGAGAAAATTATCCATTTGATAAAATTTTATATAAACAAAAAGAAAAAATATTGTGCATGTTGTTTGTTTTGAATTATAAAAAGTTCTTTTTGATAATATTCCGGTCGAGCAATCATAAAGTATTACCGAAAGAGTCGCAAAAATAAATCTCGTCTCTGAAATTCAATTAAAGTTATTTCCCTGCGCCGCATGCCTTTATGACGTTGCAAAGTCCTCGCTATCAATTCGGAAAAAGCCATCTTTGCTAACCGTGCTTTATTTCTCCTCTTTCTTTTGAGGCAGCCGTGACAAGAAACGTATCAAAAGGATATACAAGTAAAATAAAAATGCAAAGTAAAATGAAAATATGAATTATACCCCCCGGTCTTTTAAGGATTTCAATTCGGGACTCCTTTTCTTTTTGATGGATCAGTTTTATTCGGCTCCAGATTTAAATTTAAAGCCCGATATGGTCATCAATAATTTCAAGCGGATTTATTTTCTTTGGCGTTATTTAAAATTCACGAAGGATTAAATTTAACTTTGGTACGTGGAGTTTTACACAAAAATAAACTTAATGAGGTTATAAAAAGAAAGAATATGATTATAAAAGTGATTTAAAGAAGAAAAGTTAATATCGTTAAAACGCTTTTAATATGTTATGTTGTATTGGGTTTATGTTTTTTTGTACTAAATATTTTTTTGTTTTTTTAATTTTTAATCAAGTAAAACATCACATCATTTTTGAAAACTCTGTATTAGTCGAATCTTTGTCGAAAAACTATCAAACAGTCATAAAAGTAAAAGCAATATATGTCGTGGAAAAAATCTATAAGCTGTAACATTATTTTCCGGAAAGCCCATTCGTTAAAAGTTTCCAAATCCCATCAACACTCAAAATCATTTTGCGAGATTGATTCATATTATTTTCATCCTCCATTACCTTTTTCTTTGTCGAAGTTTACTTGGAAAAAGACAGATTTAAGTGGTTTTCGTTTTATTGCTCTATTCTGTCACCGAAACCGCAATATAAGATTTACAGATTTTTTATGATTCTTCGCAATGTTCGAGCCTTTTTTTGATTCGCAAGATTGCCTTTTTTACTTCAGCTCTTTTTATATATTGTTCTTATTTGGTTTTAATAACACTGTGCAACACAAAAAATGAACTGGGATCAAATCTGAAAAAATCGAATCTAGGCAACCCCCAAAACAAATCCTTTAAGGGGTTTTACCAGTTTAGCTCGAATAATGGAGATATACATATATATATATATATATATCTCCATTATTCGAGCTAAACTAGCAAAACCCCTTTAAAGATTAGTTTTGGGGGTTGCATAGATTCGATTTTTCCACATTTCATCCCAGTTCAAATTGTAAGGTCAAAATTTGTCGCACAGTGTAATTTAAGTTAAGCTGAATTATTTAAACTCATCATTTTGTGTTTTTGTTTGCCCCATTTTCTTTTTCCCAAATTTAGATTTCCAGTAAACGGACAAAATTGAACAGAAAAATCGAAAAAAATTAACTTGGAAAAAATTCTTTATCGCTTTTGAACCACCGGGATAAAAAAAAGCAATTCTCAAACTCAAAGGTAAAAAAAAAAGTTTTTTTGAATTTGATTGCGAGTCGATCTATACATTTGAAGGTACATCGATATATCGGTGCTCCTTTAAAAAAATGTTAATTGGTATATTTATTTGAAAGTTAGATATCTCGGTAATAATAATTTTACAAAAAATAACGATATATGAAATTATTAGTATAATATTATACGAAATATAATATTATTCACGAGGATGAGGTTTGCGTTTTGAGTGGCCAGACGAGAGACTCAAATTATCCGAGTAAATAATGCGTATAATCTCGAATGTAATACCATACTTTATCTACTCCAATAAGTAGATAGTTAAATGATTTTCAAAAATAATTAAAAAAAATCTGACAACTGTAAAATGGTTAACCTCACTTTTTATCAATTTTGAATATTATCATAGTCGCCTTCCCCCAATTTAAAACTCAATTGGTTCAAATCACAGTAAATATTGAAATCTGCCAATTACTGATGCCTAACAACGTGAATAATGAGTTTATTATTTCCGTTGTTAGGCAGATAATTTATAATGTTTAAAAAAAACAATATTATGCAATAGGAGTAGATAATAGTATATTATGTATCAAGTTTGATAAACGCCATTTACGAATTTAATTTAGACACGAGCGAGCTTGCGAGCGAGTGCTTAAATTAATGAGTGTATAGAAAAGTTTATAAACGAGGTGCATACTATACTTTTTCTACGACAAATACTTATTATTATCTTAAAATGATTTAAATCAAAAATTTGTATAGAGCGCCATCTATGAAACAATAGGGGAATCTGTGTGTCACCGTCAAATGTCAAATTTTTATATTTTATAAACACAATTATAAAGGTTATAAATCGAAATGTATTTTTTGAAAATTGACAGTTTTTCACAGTGAAAGTAAAGAAAATGTTTTATGAGCACTTTACAGTGGAGCTCGTGCCCGAATTTAATTAAGTTATAGTTTACTGCCGGAGAAGTTAAAAGGTCAGTACAATGTTCATATAAACTTTTCAAATATTGTTGCGTTGAGAAACTATTTAATACTTTTGTATTTTTGTATTGAGATAATAAAATAATTTTCACATTTAGTATTATTTTACAAGAAATTCAATTTATTTTAACGATTGTATGACATTTGACAACTGTCAACTAACTTAAAAATAACTAAGCAACAACTTGTCAATGTGTATTTAAAAGGTCATAGAAACATGTACAATAAAGGGCGTTTTAAAGGTGGGAGTAGAAAAATATATTTTTAAGTTGTAAAACTCATGAATCACAATAGTGGTTTGGTCGCTATGGCCAAAAACAGACAATAAAAAAACGATTTTTTCCCGAAAATTTTTCCTCTATAAATAAAAAAAACATAAATGAAAATTTGTCCTCTACAAATAATAAAAAACATAAATGAAACGTTAGCCAGAGAATTTAATTGCGAGTATATCATATTATTATACTAACGTCAATTTCGGATAAGACTTAGATTTTATACGATCAATTTTTTAAAGCAATGTAAAGTTTAATTTCCATATTTATTATATTTGTTTCTAGATTTATTTAATTTACCGTTGATTTTACACAATAAGTTGAATTAAACTTTTACAGGATTTTTAATGGATATCTTTAATTTTTATGTATATGCCAAACTGATCTATTTAACTATAAATAAAGGACTTCTTTTATTTTGCTTCGCTTTTAATTTAAAAAAAAGACAGCGAACGCGCGCTGTAAAGAACCGCTATTTAAGGGATGTATTTTTCCAAATCCCTTTGAAAGTA